TAGCGGTAAATAATGGTTCTAACATAACAGCAACACAAGGCTGTCATAAAACCTACTAGCGATCAATAGGGTTTCAACCAGCAGCAGATATAACATGTTGTCTCAGAGGGCTGATAACCCTGGGCTCTGGTCAAAAGTAGTGCACTACATAGGGAATAGGGTGCCATTTGGGACATTGTCTATAACTGCCACAATAATCACCTCTAATAGAGGACTACAGCATACTGACTGGTTACTGGAGATAAGATGTTAATCACCTCTAATAGAGGACTACAGCATACTGACTGGTTACTGGAGATGTTAATCACCTCTAATAGAGGACTACAGCATACTGACTGGTTACTAGAGATAAGATGTTAATCACCTCTAATAGAGGACTACAGCATACTGACTGGTTACTGGAGATGTTAATCACCTCTAATAGAGGACTACAGCATACTGACTGGTTACTGGAGATAAGATGTTAATCACCTCTAATAGAGGACTACAGCATACTGACTGGTTACTGGAGATAAGATGTTAATCACCTCTAATAGAGGACTACAGCATACTGACTGGTTACTGGAGATAAGATGTTAATCACCTCTAATAGAGGACTACAGCATACTGACTGGTTACTGGAGATAAGATGTTAATCACCTCTAATAGAGGACTACAGCATACTGACTGGTTACTGGAGATAAGATGTTAATCACCTCTAATAGAGGACTACAGCATACTGACTGGTTACTGGAGATAAGATGTTAATCACCTCTAATAGAGGACTATAGCATACTGACTGGTTACTGGAGATAAGATGTTAATCACCTCTAATAGAGGACTACATCATACTGACTGGTTACTGGAGATAAGATGCAGCTGTAGGGAATTCCACAGCTCTTTGGACTGTTTGGTGAACCGTGTGTTATAATACAATTTCTTTTCCAGAGAAATAGAGATTCGAAATGTAAAATAAAGATTTCTGATTGGGAGTAGAAGGCTTACGTACGTCTATCGTTAGCATACAAGGCTTGACAAGTATGACAGATACAGTATAGCTTTATTTGACTTCCTGCTCCCATCAGCCAGTGGGGTACAGGCATTCATAATGTTCAACTTCTCATATGTGAAAACATAGCACAGGGAAAACGTCCAGACTCCCAAGATAATAATAATATATTATAATATATGCCGTTCATCAGACGGTTTCATCCAAAGAGACTCACGTTTTTTCCAAATGGGTCCTGGGAAGATGAAACGATAGAAGTTTCAGAAACAATGTCCTCAATCCATTCATACACTTCCACAACGGCAAACCTTTATTTCCCAACAATGCATGTATTGATTAAACTATTAGAACAGGGTGATCTGTAACACATGAATGAGACATGTGAACCAGCACAGGGCTAATACAGGTCTAATCTGTAGGAAATCCACAACTAGAATGCCAAAGCCTCTATTGACTCAACCTCTTCTCGGTGACTATACCTTCTGGGGGCCTTGGATTACCTCTGAAACAAACAGCCAGGCCCACGGCCCTAACCCTGGCCCTGGCCCAAATGGCACCCTATTCCCTACGTAGTGCACTACTTTTGATCGGGGCCAGTTCCATGGAACACTTCAGTAGAGTACAGGAAAGTATTAGTACCATTCTGTAATAATCAATCAGGTAGAGAGGAAGGTAGACGTGAGTTAATGTGTTGTTGCAATTGAACGACAGTGGAATGCAGCTGACTGGCTGTGTCCCAAATGGCACCCTATTCCCTTAGGGCCCTGGTCATGAGTAGTGTACTACATAGGGAATAGGGTGCCACTTGGGATGCAGTCACTGGCTACTGCCCCAGCGTCTGTCTGTTGACCTTGGATAAATGGACACCATTATCTCCCCCTGTGAGCCAGTTGATAAATTAATGAGGACAGTGTTTGCATTGATACTGTATCTCCAGGCTGTGTAGGAGACTCCACTCATTGACTGGAGTGACACAGATTAACCAAACTGGACTAATAAATGAGTGTTAGTGCGTTTGGACGCTGCCATTACCTGGCCCAGAGCACAGCTATAAATCTGAAGGCAGAGCTGAGCTAACACATGGTCTGGAGGGTGGCCGGGGGGGCGGGCCCCTCCCCTATCTGCCTCATCAGCACAGGGGGACTGACGGGACTAAATGTGAAATTGGCCGTGAGGACGTTTAATTTGTAAAGACAGCAAACACTGTCTCATCTGGCTGGTGGGCCACAGCCTTTTAAATGTTAGGATCATTTAGGGTTTAAGGTCATTATCTGGAGGAGAGATGTTCCTCATATAATTGGGCTGAATAATAAATCTGTTAGAGATCTTTTAGCACTCAATGGACAGTATTGGTAATGGTTTAATGCCATAGGTGCAGAGAGCAAGGCGTTGAGGAAGAGTCAGTTGAATTCTTATCGGTTTATAGATGTATACATGTCTAAATGATTCCCTTTTCCAACGTACTTCCAGAGAAGTGAATCCCAGTCCATTGCTGTGTTCAGGACTTCATTATTATGTTTCTGACTTGTCAGGCACTGATGCCTGTCGATGGTTTTATGACTATCTTAAAGATATAACTCAGGCCGTCATGGTCGACGGGATCAAGTCTGACCCCTTACAGTTACTCAAAGGGGTCCCTCAGGGTTCAATAATTGGCCCACTATTGTTCTCACTTGATATAAACAACATTGGTGATGATGTCAGATATTGTAAATTCCATGTATATGCAGATGACCCAGTGATGTACTCTATTGCTCAACAGCGGACCAAGCTTTAATGCAGTTGGAGTCTGATTTTAGGATAGTCTCTTTTACAGCTTAAACTTGTTTTAAACGCTAAGAAAACAAATGTCATGTTTTTTTTCTAAACTCTCAATTAGAAACACTTTTGTAATCACTAGCTTGGATGGTACTCAAATCAAACAGGTATCTGCATATAAATACTTAGGGGTATGGTTAGATGATAGGCTTTCTTTTAAAAAACATGTTACTGAATTGGGAAAAATGCTCAAATTCAAGATAGGGTTCCTTTACAGAAACAGGGCTTGTCTGTCCTCCGTAAATAGAAAACAAATTGTGCAGGCTACTTTTATGTCCGTTTTAGATTATGGTGATATTATCTATAGGCAAACACATTAAAACCACTGGATGCTATTTACCATAGTGCACTCAGGTTTATCACGGGTGATAGTTACAAAACTCATCACTGTTTCCTATATCAACATGTGGGTTGGGCCTCTCTATCTGTGAGGCGAGAGCAACATGCTCTCTTGTTTATTTATAAAGCACTTCTTTTAAAACTACCTCCATATATATCATCATTAATTTCCACTAGATATGCTAATTTTAAAACCAGATCACAGATGTGGATTACATTAGAGACTCCTGTGGTCTCCCCAGAGTTGGGTAGGACTGCCTTCAGTTCCTTTGCACCTTATTTATGGAACAAACTGCAGATCCAACTGCAGTTAGACACTCTGGTGTCCCTTGCCCATT